GGGCCCCTCGGCGCCGGCCTTCCTGTTTCTTTCTGTAATCACAAGCTACTTTGAAAGCTGCTTTCCTTCGTACCGCTCCGTGACGTGGCTTGGGGACCAAGTCACCTGTACTTCTATAGCTGTACTTAGTAGCGTGCCTAAAAAAGGCAGCCTGACGGGAGGGCCGTCTGTGTGCCAGGCTTGTGTCACAACTGATACATAAAACCAGCACTTCTACTCCGTTTAGGTTCAGATTTTTTTTTTTCGTATCAATTATTAAAAAAGAAAAAAAAAACAGGGAAGATAGGAGTTATGGAAAGTAAATGGAAAACATGAGGTTTTATTTAAAAGTCATAGTTTGGCAGGAAATAAAAGGAGTTTGAAGGTTTCCCACTAACTACTAATGCTGTGTTATTATGCAGTGGGATTGTAAAAACAGGAGGGGGTGGAAGGTGGAAAAAATCCCATACAAAGTAAAGACAGCAGCTAGTTTTTTATCACGTGTATCGTCAAGACAGGCTTTATAAATAAAGGCTTTCAGATACACAGGTTAATCACTGTTTCTCAGATTATGCATATTGTTCTGTTTTTTTTTATGGCACAAAGATTTTATAGTAAAATTATAGTTGTGTTAGCTGGCACAGAAATTCCTAATGAACTCACATAGAAGACACAGCTCTGCTTATTGGAAAGTTTAGAATTCAGACAAAACACACTTGGGGATTTGCAACTACTTGCTTTATGATGTACCAGGTACTATTCCAGCTATTTAGCATATACCTATGTTGAGTTTAAAAAGTGCTTGTTTAGATCTTTTCTAAGCAAGGTCAACTATAATCTACAAGACCTACATTTTAATGCCTCTCTGCTTTCTGTAGTAGCATGTGCTAAATATTTTTCTCCCACACCTGAAGACTCTGGTGTCCTTTTTAACTACCAGTAGCATGCTATAATCTAGAATATGGATTTGCAGGCTATGCTCTATGTGCAGAGAGGCAATACAAAAAGTGTTAAGCTCTCTTGTACACTCCCCCTGCTTAGAGTTAAAAGCATGCAATAGAAAATTAGCATGGAAGGAATATGGTGCTGTAAGATTGCACTGAGTTAATGTAAAAACAAACAATTCCCCCTCCCCAAATTCCATCCAAACTTTTTTCAGTAATTTCATAATTTTTAATTGCAGAATGTTTATGGCACAGCAGCTGTGAATAAATTTTAATTCTGAGACTTCACAGGCAAACCAAACATCACTGCACACAGTAAGATTGTTTCTCGATTTGCTATTTGTAGAGTAGACAAACACATGGACAAGTGGAAGCTGACTTTTTTTTTTCCCAATATATAAAGAACAGGAGAATGATCTTGTTATTGCTTTCTGCTGGAAAATACTTAGATGTATGTTTCCACCTGTGAAGCTCGTACAGCCGTTACGTTCTGCCTCCCCACCCTGTCCTGTGCATCTCACTGGGGATTTTATCTGCTTATCAAATTGAGAGCTCTCATCACTATATCCAGACTTGAGCTATGTTGCAGCAGCTTCCCTCTCTGTTTCTCCCTATACTGCTGTATCCACACACAGAGCTCATGATTAGCTCAAGCTATTTTATTTGTACAATACAACAGAGTTGCAGAAGCTGTGGAAATGAGACTTTTCCACCAGGGGTCACTAAGACAAAATTGGGCATCTGTTTTTAGTGTGTACAAACTGGATCAGACACATAGTGTTTAATTATTCACCACATTTAGGGGGTGACTCAAGATTTTGACATTAATTTTTAAATATTTTTTAATGAGAGGAAGGGAAAAAATAAAGCGTTTGGGGAATAACCTTCTCTCCCAGACATGAGGCACGTACTTATCCTTTTTGCAGAAATGGAAGTCTGCAGCCCTCTGCTTTCCAGAGGTGCAGTCCACCCCAATTTAGATACAAGACCATTACCTCCCACAGGACTCAGACACAATCAGGAAAGGAGACTTTAAAGATACTAAAGCACCACACAATCAAGATTCAGTTCATTAATTTTAAGTATCAGTGTAATAAAGCATCAAAAAGTTCCAGAGCAGCTCAGGGCCAGTATGGAAGCACACAAATTTATCCTTTCTGCAAGGTGTTGGTTGGGGGCTTGGCGGATCATGGAATCAAGTTCTGGTCTCATCAGTCTTCAGGTATTTTCCATCTACAGAGTCCTTGAGGGCCCAGTCATGGAGGAGGCTGTAGTCATAATGCTCCTCATCCACTAGTTTCAGGAAGGCCAGTCCTGAAATGGCTTGCCACTCTCGGAGGGATGGGATACGGATTTCCTCGATGTTTTCACTCCCTGGGGCAAAGCCAAAGAACTTCCTCACATGCTGCATGGCGTAGAGCCTGGAGTGCTGGTCCATCGCTTCGTCAAAGAGATCCTGCTCGTTGTGGACATAGTTGGTCCAGTATCTGAAATGTAGGAAGCTGAGTGGGGAGAAACAGCTTGCTAGGCAGTAAGACAGGAAAACAGTGATGGCTACCACAGCAATGAGAAGCCAGCCTGCCACCTTCAAAAGAAAAAAAAAAAAAAAGGCAAAACAATAAATAAATACAACACTTTACTATTAAATCTTCTTGGTGTACTTCCTTGTATCACAGTACATTTATTACAGCTGTAAATATCTGCTGTGACAACTTATGAGCCTAAAGAAAATCCATATGAAAGCCTTTACTTGTTTTTTCTTGAGTAAAGAGGTTAACAAACGCAAGCCTGATTGGTTCTGATGGCAATAGACCCCTGTTACTGCCTGCTGTTGGTAGCTGTATAAGGAGGCCAGCATATCTCGCTGAAGTTTAAAGAAGTTCTGTCTTATTAATTTGTTCAGAATTTGGCTTCCAAAATTATTGCTGAAAATCTGCATCAGAGAAGCCATCTGATTTCTAGCCCAGATTAATTTATGGCCTGTTTTATACCCATTTCTCTTTAAAGTATTTGCTTAATACTCCCCCTAAGATTTACCCACTAAATAAGCTTTTAAAAATGAGTAGCATCCTACAGAGCAAAATTTTGATTTAGGTAGTGTGAAGTCCTCAAAATGTGGGCTCTTTGTTACATTTCTTTTTCTTGAATCAAGAAACTACACACATACACGTACCATTCTTGAATGACACCCATTTGGCTTACTGCTAGTTCAAGATACTGTGTAAGGAAGAGCACTTCCTCCAGCAAAATAGGAAAAGCTACATGTAATAACTTGCTAAAGCTCCACTCAAAGCAGAATATACACATCCTGGTTTTTATTAATGCTTGTGTACTGAATTAATTCTATTTTTTTTAAATTCTCAGGCAACTGCTTCATAACAGAAATAACATAAGCTACTCACTTGTGACTGGTATCGGAGGAGGAGAATCACTTCATCTCTTGCCCTGCTCAGCTCTGGAGGAACTAACTGACTGCAGGGAAATGCAGCAAGTATCTTTCTCTGTTCACTAGCAGTAGTGTTAGTATTACCTCCAAAATAATACACTGAGACATATTCACTCATAGCACACACATAAAATGAGCCATTTATCAGGGTGACTGCTAGCCACGTTACTGGAGCAACCAGTGCTCTCCCAGTGATGCTACACAAGACAAAGCAGGTCAGCTTGCACTGCAGTAAGCGGTTGCGTGTCCCCTCGTGCTGAAGAGGAGATCTTTTGCCTGTAACAAGCCTCCAAGTCTGGTTATTAAGAGCAAAACCAACAATCATTAGAATCAGTGCAGGAACTCCTAGGAAAGCCAGCCCATAGATAAGATTCTGCCCAACATGGCAGGGGCAGCTAAAAGTAAAAAAAGAGAAAAGCTGCTGCCCACCAATTGTCAATATTGCAATTATGGCATTAGCAATAATGACCTCTTTGCCTTTTAGAAAAGTTAGCCACTTTGGAAAGTAAGCCATCCTAGATCTTCACCACTTGCTTTTGCTTCAAGTCAATGCTAGCTTTTAGTTTCAATTTAGCATCAATTAATGACAGAAAAGTTTGCAAACAGACACCAATAAAATTAAAAATCCCTAAAACGATAACACCCTTGCTCCTCTAAATAACTCCCTACTCCATAATAGTTAGAGCATTGTATACTTATAGATACTTATAACCAATCATCTGTTTTAATAAATTATCTCAGTGGATCAGGAACATTTAGCTTTTAGGCAATTATGAGTTTTGCCAGCCCCTTGCTAATTGCCTGAAACTAGCAATGCCACCTGACTACCTTTTGTAGGACATGAAGTATTGTTAAGCTGTTAGCTCCCTATTAGGGTTAATTGGCCAGCTGTTTTCTAATCAATGGTAATTAGCAGAATCAGTCTGTGGGACTAGGGGAAAGATTGTAAAATAAAGCAAATGCAAATCAAAAGAACCTCCACATTTCTACTATTCTCTGTTAAAAAAAAAAAAGATAACCAAACAAAGCTTTGCAAGCAGACTGACAATTAAAAAATATATATCACCAGGGCTATTTTAAAATGCCTTACCATAAAAATGAAAAAGACTCTATCAACTGCACAGGATTTGGAATCCTTATTCTATTCACATTTAATGTCAGTTCTCATTCTGAGGCAATTTGTGTATTAAATGCTGGAATCTGAGCTGTGGTTGCCTGATGGATCCTGAGGTGACAAAGCAAGGTGAATAGGATCTCAGAGACTTACTGGTAACAAGAAACAAAAGTGTTTGCTTTCCTGATAGTGTTAAATGTTGCTTTAGGCTATTTCTGATTATTTGTATAGCTTATACCCTGCCATTCACTTTGTATAGTGTCAAGCCAGCTTTAAACATAGTCATGATATTAGCTTTTTAAGGTTTTCTGTGTATCATCAGTTCCATTCTGTGGATAGATGGAAATGCCTAAATTAAAAAAAAATCAGAACTGTTTTCTGATTATTGAAATGTATGATCTGAGCTCTCAGCCATTAACAGACATCAATTTAAAACATTTCGCAGCAAATGATTTTCTCTAGACACACTGTATAAGGTCATGCTCTTCAGTACTTCTGTAAATCACTCACCCATTAGGCATGTTGCTAAATATGCAAATACTTGTATGTTTATTATGAGAAATCTAACTGACTGTAATATAATATTTTTTTACCCAGAACATTAAAAACAAAAAAGCAACCTCCAAAATAACAGAAAGGCTGTAAGGAAAATTATCTTTGCATTCTCAGCCATCTGTACGGCATGCATGTATTCGGTTATATGGCATAGGGGTGTCTCATTGTACAGCCTCTTGCTATGTAAAAAGGACTGCTTATAAGAACTTACGATGGTAACACAAAGTAATTTTATCATCCATAGTATCCCCTTGCATAGCATGACACTGTCACAGCTTTCGTACACGTGCATGACATGTTTTACATGCCTTGTCTATTTACTAGGCAGGATTGCTCCTTCAGTGCCTGGTTTAGGGAGGACACTTGCTTGTCTTCTTCTCAGTCACAATCCATGAGAGAGGCCGTCAAAACTAAGTGATGGCATTATGCAAAACTGGAAGTGATGTCCAAATGTGCTGAAGTATGTAGTAGCACTTTGCCACTGTTTTTTTTCTGAAATTTTTTGTTTGCATGAGCAGAGCAGGCCACAAAACAAAATCCCAGTGCTGTCCTGCGTGGTGCCAATTTGAAGCTTTATTTTCTTTCAGTAACACAGGATCATCCATAACTTTTTAAATGTATTAGCGGCACTACATTTTGACAAAATGTATCTCCTTCTAATTAAGTAAATCAAATGCATCTGGCGATTATGGATGTGTTTTCAGAATGTGTTTTATACGAGTCTTCCATTACCGCTCAGCTCACTTTAAAATCTCCAGTTGATTGCTGCTGAGCTCTCTTTGGGCACCCACGTTTTATTTTTTATGGGGAAGGCAGGCTTTCCCAAACATCACTGTTTACTCAAGAAGCACATTAAATGCAAAACTGAAAAGAAATACAACACTGAAATATTGATAGCTGCTCTCAGGCTGTTGAATGAGGCAATTTATGCAATCAATACAACAACTTTGCACTGATGCATTGTCACTCTTTTGGCATTGCTTTCAGGCTGTTCTGTAAATAATCCTGCTGCTTCATCCCATTATGGAATGAATCACAGGGTTGAATCCAGTTAAGAACTTGGGTGGTACATCAGATTTTTAAATACTTCTAAATCCTTGCCTTTGCAGAGGAATGCAGTGTCTTGAGTACATATCTAGTCTCTTTGTATGATGCCTGGGAAGAGTTAGGATGAAATGCAATCCAAAATACCATAATCTAAGCAGTCAAATGTTAGCCATGTTTTCTCTAGTCATTTTACTCAGAGTTGTAGGGCTCCCACAACTTGGATTCACCTCCAGAAACTCTTCCTCAGAAAGGTTTGCCATCTTCTTTTAAAACAAGGAAGTCTTATTATTCTTTCCTATCCTCCCTTACCCAAATACACAGTTTTTGTTTTCTTGTTTGCTTTTTAAGCAGGTATGGCAGAAGGGAGAGATTGGTTTTAATTCCCTTCTCTGTCTGATCTAGTGAAAATTCTCTCACTCATCTCTTGCCTCACTTTTACTAGACATGTGGTGTGACTCTGATGGGGAGAATCTTTATTCTCAAGCTCTCCTGCCTTAGTTCTACCAGCTACGCTTAGTTCCCTGCTCAAAGAGAAATTCGATTTATATTGGATCAGAAAATGGCTAGGATTTTAGTGTCTAGTGAAAAGGACAGAAAAGGGAAGAGGAGAAGCGAGGAATATCCCTCTACTTTTCATCTAAAGATTACTCCGGGTAAAATTTAGTGGAGACTGAATCGTGGGTTCTCATGTCCTGCATAAGCACTTTCACCACTAAGTTTACCTTCAGGAGGCAGAGGTGCCATGTCTCCTCTAGCTGCATTTTCAGGTATATTTTGGTGGATGCCAAGCCTGCCTTGTAACACTGGGTGTGCTGGGAAATAACCGCACAAGAGATTTCCTGTGGGAGCTCACGGGGAGCAGTGGCCGTGTCCTGCCGCCTTCTTGGTCGCAGGCCGGCTTCAGGCTTTCAAGTCATTCTCTTGGTTTTCTTGGCTGGGTTAGAGGAGCAATTCCTACCCTCTAAATCAGGATGAACGGTGATGAGAATGTCATCAACAAGCTTAATTTTAAGGAAAAAAAAAAGGGAACTTGACAATTTTTTTACCTTACATCTTTTACTTCAAAATTCAGGTGTGATTTATAGGAAGGATTTATATAAGGTTTTAGGGGTTTTCAGTGAATTGCAGCAGAAAGTAGGCACCCAATCCAAAAATACTCTCTTGATAGCAACAGCACAGCTTTATTTTGAAGCATCACGAAAAAGGCAGCCGCATTGAACACTAATAACTTAAAGCAGTCATTTGGGATGTGGGAGACCCATGTTCAAGGAGCTTTTCTTCATGAGTAGCTTAAAACTCTTATCACTTATGTTCTTACAGTTCAAAATAATTTCATTTTCTATTCCAAAAATATTTAACTCAAGATCTATCGGGCTGGAGACAGAGAAAAAACACAAGTCCAGTATTTTACTGATTTGGACACATGCCTTTTTGTGGCAAATGCTGTATTCTTATTTTAGCTCAAATACCTTTTAATGTATTTGGCACTAAGTACACTAGTGGCCTCTGGGCTCTGGAATATTCATGTTTGGGAGAATCCTTAGAAAGCAGGATACTGAAGCAATTGTATCCTTAGCTGTACAAGTTTCAGCATTCCCTTAGTAGCCCATCTCCCATTGGAAGGATGCTGCTGGTGCACTTTTTTTTTCCCCCACACTTTTTAACTAAAAAGATATTTTGCTTGTCCTTATCTTCTATGGGAAGGAGAGGAACTGCTCCAGTCTGATGCTCAGTATACCAGGCCAACAGTTCCTGGGGCTGAAGGCTAAGATCGTGACAGGCATGGCAGAAAGGAAGGAGCAGGGCAATGAGCAGGGCACACTTCAAATTGCCTTAGATTTACACTGAGAAATATGCATCAAAGTCTGAAAGACGGAAAATTCTGTGCCAACCTCTACGCCTTTTCTGGGGCTGCAACCTAGGCTACAGTTAAAATTGTGAAGGTGATTTCCTTTTGTTCCTTAAGAAATGGATCCAATCCACTGTTGACTTATTTCCTTTAGTGGAGCCATTTAATTCGCAGTTTATTTGGACGTGCCATGGCTATTTCATTTTGTCTAGCATATGCAAACTTTTCAAAGACATAGTACATAACATCAAATTCATAAAATTCATATTGTATATGTGATTTTACATATATATGTATGTATATGCACATATGTATTTTCTAAACAAAGCCATTTTGTTCTTACTGCATATTTTGCCTTCTTGTCCACAATGTTCATGATCGTAATATTAATAATGCAGATCAATGTCATTCATCCTTATATTCAGTACTGAATAAATAAAATGGTGCTCATTTATAGATAGCCTAAAGTGTTTTGTGATGGTTTCACTGCAGATAAATTATACTAATGATAGTCTTCTAGAGCTGCTTTTAAAAATATAGTGCAGTACATTTTCTTCCAGAGTATGGGATGTCTCCTGCAATAAGAGACATATTTGGTGCTTGTGGGTAGTTGTAGACGATCTGAGAAACAAATCTATTTCAGACTCGATTTAGTAATGTGAGTAATTATCTGGAAAATTTTAATGCCTGACTTTTATAATTTATTGCAATTTAGGTATGTCATCTGCCTGCAATAGTTTCCCTTAAGAAAGGGAGTCTGATATTTCAATACCAGAAAGGAGCCTAGAAAAGATGGCAGACACATATGGTCCTCAATACTGGGTCATTCCATGTAAAATGAAAGCTCTTAGGATGCCTGCTTTACACAGCAGAGCCCAAATCCTTATATTTCTCCTATTCTAGTTGTTGTCTCATGTCGTAACTTTAAAGTACAGGGATTTTTTTTGGTTTTTTTTTGGCAAATAAATGAACCCCCCTTATTTCAGATAAAGCATGAAGTAGGATATAGTTGCAGTTTTACCCTAACACTAAATGTAATAATTAAATCAAATCTAATAAGAGCATGTCATTCAGGGGAGGCCACATGCTTCTACTTCCTCTCCTCAAAGTCTGAAACAGGAGTGTATGTGTGGTGGTCCTGTAGAGATGATTCATTTATAAATTTATTAGCAACCATGATTTAAATTTGTGCCAAGTCTAAGCTAACAGAATAGGGCAAATTTATGTTAAAAATGTTGGAAAAAGTAATCTGAACTTTCCTGGATGCTTGTAGCAGCAATGTTTACAAGCAGGATGTTAGCAATGAGATAAGATCCATTAGAGGCATCAGTAATGGAAGCACCATTTTCAAAAGCTGGCAGTGTTTGCAGGAGCACAGTTTATTCTTTGGTTAATTTAATCTTTTGGTTAATCTAGATCTTCCTGCCAGCTTTGCATTCCCAGAAACATGGTGGTATCAGTGCCCTGTGACTCACACTGCTCTCACCTAGGTGGTTTCCACTCACCAGCCTAAATCTGTCATAACTGGCAGCTCCTTAAAAGGGAAATTGATGCATTTTTTGACTACCTGGTTCTTCAATATCTTGTAATTGCTTTTTAATTCTTCAGTGGGGGAGCTTTTGTTAACTCTCCAAAAACCAAAACCTGATGCAAACAATGAAGTGTGTTTGTTTTCTGTCCTTGTAAATCTCTTGGGACTGTGTGGTTTGACTTCTCATGTCTGTTTGCTGTGTATTTGATTAAAGTCTGTTCTTCTGGATAGAGCAGTTATTTTTGTTATTCCGAGGCAAATCTGCTGCCAACCAGAGTCCAATCTGCTGCCAACCAGATTCCTCCCAAAGGGCTTTGTGCATGTGGAGAATAGGAGGAGCATCAGCAGCATTACAGAATGCAGCAAATGCACCTCCTGCAAAGGCAGAAGAGAAGAGAGGAAAAAACTTTAGAGAGGGAAGGAAGAAATACAGTAACAGAGAGAAGATCATGCTGCTTAAAGAAGAAAAGATATAAACAATCAAGTACTTCAAGCATTGCACAAGCAACATGTCAAGACCACCAGGAAGAAAGCAAGATAATCACAAAATAGTAAGACTTTTTAAATAACCTGCAACTAAAATTGCACATGGAGTTAGAATAATCTTTTATTGAAATAATGTTTTGTACAGTTATGATTTAAGAGTAGCTTGTAAGTAGACTTCAGTAAGAAATTCTGGGGATAGTCTGCCAGTATGAGGGCAACATTTATGGGTGCAGTGGGCCTCTTTTATGAGCTCTCAACAAGCTGCCAGCTTTAAAGCTGTGACATAAAGACTGTCCATAGGAGCTGAAGTCTGTTTGTTTCTGAGCAATAAATATTAAGATTTGCTCCAGGAACATTGTTATCTCTCCAGCTACCTTGACAATGATACAAAATGATTTTCAGATACCTTCAAAATGAATCTTGAAGCCAAAACTTTGCTCCTGATTTGGGGAAGCTGTGCCAGCCACATCTCTAGCACTTGAGCAGTTATAGGGATAGACAGTTCAGCTGCAGCATAGCTGGTACTCACTGTGTGCCTCCTGGATAGCAGACCACATCTTGTTTTGGGGTTTGTGTTGCATGAGCAGAGGTCTTTCTTCATCCTCCTAATGTGCATTTTCACAGGATTGTAACACCTGGCTTTTAAAGCTAAAATCTGTTTCTTGGGGAAACAATGGCGAACTAACTATTGTCTTTGGGTGTTGGTTTTGACTATTGAGCTCACAGGACAAAATGTAGAAGTTAGAAGACTTCAAGTAGAAGTTATGTGGACCAAAACTTCCTTCTTTTTCTTCACTTCATGTTAATATTCTCCTAAAATTCTAGTAGTTGTTTTGAATACACTGCATGCAAGATTCTGGCAACAGGACTTCTTAAACTGCATGTTCATAAAAAGTTTATTTTGTACCATTAACGTTACCAATTACTCTCCTTCTTGTTCTCTACCTGTGGTATCTAAAGTATGACAAAGAGTAAAATCCTATTCAAAGAATATTTGATCTTCAACCTTTTGTCTGGGAACCTGTGACATTGTAATCTTACCACTTTTTATTCCAGAAAAGTGGATGGTTTATTTTGGTTTGAAATATGAAGTGGGTTACCTTGTTTGGATGTGCCTCTCTGTACTTCAGAGTTTCTTTCAGTGAACTGCATGTCAGGAGGTTAAAGTGATCGCCTAAGCCTCAGTTCAGGAAGAGATTCATCTTCAGATTTATATTCGTGGTCGTCCAGGTCAGAAAGCAGCACCAGAGTGACTGACAAGTGATATGGGCTGCTGCTGGGGGGGGCGGTGGGAGTCTCAAGTGACAAAGTGACAGAGGCAGAGGTAGAAAGTGCAGCTTGCTGCATGAGATGCATGTGATGTGCTGTGCTCATCACTGGGAGCAGGAGAAGGGATTGCACTTTGTATCCCACCCGGAACCGGGTGCCTGCCCCAGGATGCTCTGCCAGGCCTGTTTCTACTCACGCTTCCACCCACCCACGGTGTTTGCCAAGGGTCAGCTAGGAACGTGGGTTCTCCAAACCAGGATTTCTACACCAGCCGGACACTTTTGTGTCACTAGGAGCTTTCAGTTCTGAAAGGAAACACTCTCTGAATTCCATGTTGTTGCTGTTTTTTTCCCCCCAGGAACTTCAGTCCATCACAGTGTGTGATCTCCCTTAATGACACAAAGCAGGAAAATAACTAAATTATACACGGGTATAATTTTGCACAAGACAGTGTGAGCTTTCCACAAGTCAGTGTTCATGTCCATGCAGAGGCCAGCGATTATGTAGGAACTCAGTGCTGTGTCTCTGCAGGAACTCATTGCAAGGCCAGACCTTAGATTAAATTTATGATTTTCCACCTTAGATTAAACTTATCATTTGTCTTCAGTTCACTGTTCTAAATATCTGATAAATTTCATTATACCTGGTGTTTCATAAGGAGACATACATTTGTTTCTGCTGTAGATCAGGCAATCGTGCAGAAGACCTATGTGCTAAAGAAATTGCGTAGTGGAAATTTTTCATTCCCATGGAGAACTCAGAGTTCACTGAATTTACAATAGTAAGTTTCCTCAGAGTCTCTGTCAAAGAATGAAAATTGTTGACTGTCTAGGATTATTTTACTGTCAATCCAAAGACTCAAAGTGATACCATACAGAAATAAGGCCATGTTGGTTTCAAAACAAAACAAAAACAAAAACAAGAAACAACAACAACAAATACCCAATAAAACTGTGCCTTGATGAAGAAATGGTTCCATCTAAAAATGTTAAAGTGTAAAAGTGTAATTATGACACATATCTATAAACTAAAGTGTGAGGAAGCTGCTAGCATGGAACAGAACAAAAATAATGTTGAAGAATGATAAGGAAAAAAAGTCACAATGTTTTTCTGGCACACTCACTTATTAGGGCACAGGAACAAGGTTTCTAAGACTGAGATATGCTCAGAAGAAGAGGGCTAAGTGCATTAGAGGGCCTCAGGGTCAAAGATAAAAATACCAGGAAAGTTTATGTGAGTCTGTGGTTACTTAGTCCCTAAATGACAGAGAAAGAAACAGAGAGAGAAAAAGGTCTCTCTTGTATGCAGATGGCTCAGTTCCACCCAGGTCTTCAGGAACTTAGAGCCTCTATTGAAAGACTCAGAGCTCTCTGGATGGTTAATGGAATTTTTGATAGCAGCTGGGACAGTGGAGAATTTCCAGAGGCTTTAAGTCAATTAATATTATGCCAATACCTGGAAGGGGAAAATAGGATGGATGACAAAGGTGTCCACTCAAAAAAAGAAGTATAATATAATTTATGTAAATCCGCATGAGTTCATGGAAAAAAAAAGATTTTGTCAAATAAATTGATTTTTTTATTGGATTGCTAGAGCGGTTGATAAATCTAATTACGTTGTTTATAGTATGGTTAGGATTCTCTAAGGCATTTGTCTTATTACTAAATCTTATTTTTTTGAGAGTGGGACAACACAGAACTTGTGTGAAATCTATTTACTGCATCAAAATCCTGTTAACTAAAAATTGCTAAAGTGCGCAATATTGTAAATAGAAGTTATTACCAAGGAGAATTTAGGAAACAATCTTAAACTGGTTAACTTTTTTTAACTGTGTCCTGTTGAAAAAGGGCTCATTTTTTAAACTCCAGACTCTTGATACAATGGGAGCTAGAGGTCTTTCTTCTTTCCTTCCCCTCAAGATTTGTTCTATTGCTGTCATTGATTTTTTTTTCTAGGTTATAAACTGAAAAGGTCTTCCAATCTATCCATCTGCCGCAGGCCAGTAGCATTTTGTTGAATTTGTGTCCAAAAAGCTTAATGAGAGCCAAAGGGCTCCCCTCTCTTAAAGGCTGGGTGCTCTTCCTACTAAATACAGTCCATTCTGCAGCACTGTGGTCGTGATAAAGCAGGTTCCTGTCTTCAAGCAGAAGAGAACTTGACTCCAACTTGGTGAACAGCTAAGGATTCGAGCTTAGTACTTGTGACAGAACCTGTGCAGAGACTGTGTGTCTTCCATTGCTCTTAGTGCTGCAGGGCCCCATGCAACTCCGCTCCTTGGCAGCCAGCTGTGATCCTGACCCAGCCTCACTCATGTAGGGCGGCCGTGTCAGCCACAACTGCTACATTAACTGCCTCGGACAGTAGCTCTTCAGAATGGTTTAAAAAAACACTTAAATGAGCTTTAGCTGTCTTGTCTAGTTAATCAGACCGGGTATGGAATTCATTCCATTTAATACTAGCTTTCATTTTAGGAGTCTGCTTTTGACTGTGGATAATGGAGATGTAATATGCCCGTGGAAAACCTAAAGCCAAAGTAAGATGAAACCACAATATTCATTCTGGTGTTAATTACAATTCAAAATCCACTGTTTGTGATCATTTTGTTGTGGCATCAATAAGGAATCCAGATCATAGACCAGTGTTGCATTGGGAAGGGCTGTTAATCTCATTCCTGCCAGTGTGATTTACATTTCTCTTTAAATTGCATTTACATTTCATAGCATCACGTTGCGTTTCCTTCTTTTGACTATTCATTGACAAACAAATAGAGAATTTTATGAACCCATGTCATTTTTCCCCTGTACTCCTTTTTATATTGTAGGACTGGCATTTACCTACCATTTCATCCTCTGCCTCTGCACATCACATGGTATGCAGCAAATCTCTATTTTATAGTTTTGTAGCTAAGAGTTTCAGAAGTAAATATTTTCCATATATATTAATATACATGCATGATCATTCCTTCTGGGAAAAATCATCTTGTTATTCCAATAGACCCCTTAAAGCATTTTATTTATCATACTGCACAAGATACTAAGCACTTATATAGGCCTGGGCAGGTTCCTGCTTTCCTCAGGTCTGCTCAGACACATCAGTCAAGATTATTGCTCCTGTCTGGGCCTGTGCCCAGCACCATTGCAGGAGGGGACGAATTCTCCTCTAGCTCCCTGGTAGTCTCTCCTTCAGCAATCTGTTGATGGAGCAGTTGACATAAATGCTTTCTAGTTACTGTCAGCTGTTAGCTGAAAATGAAAAATGAAGCTACACTAAGGATGGGTTGATCTTATGTTAACTGTGATGTTAGCTAATTTTAACCACATTTCCTAATATAGATAAATCCTCAAAGAGAAACCGGTATTTCCACAGCTAGGTAGCCAAGTCATCTCAGGATATGTAAGCATTTACCTTCTGCTGTATGGCAGGAAAAGACATCTTAAAAGCAGGCTACACTAGCAATAGGACCTACTTTGGTTTACTTAGATATAGTTGAGATAATGTCAAGATGAACCTGTCCACGTGTTTGGAGAGACAGTGTCCCATGTTATTTGCAGAGATTTGTAAAGAAACAGAAATGCTAATGGGATCAATTCTTTTCTGCTTTACCTGTTGTGTTGTGTATCATTCACACTTGCGCTGAATGATAGTATTTTGTGTGTGTGTGTCTACTTTGTATTTGGGGAGAGGTAAACAGCTAATGATTGAATCAAATCAAATGTATCTTTTTGAAGCCACTGGAGTTTCTCTGTACAGATTGCTTTTCACCTTATAAAAAGGGTACTACCTGATTGACTCAGTTATTCTTCCCACAGTTAAATGCTTGCCATTAATCCCGAATAGCATTTATCAATGCAGCATATACATGTGTTGTTATAGGACTCAATAGTTTGTATGATTAACATAGTAGTATCCCAGCAAATGGTATTTCATGCAAACAAAATCTCTGCACAGAGACTCAGGTGATAATGAAATAGATTCTGTTAGACAAGCCGATGAATTCAGTGGTTACAAATCCAGGAACAAAAATTTCTTATTAATATAACACGTGTTTTTGCTTGGTTTTAATACAGTTTTTTGCTTGGTTTTAATACAGTTAGCAGCCTTAGAAGTGTGGTAAGGTTTTGATCCTAGTTTGTTTTATTTTCAATTTCCACCTTTATCTGGCAGAGCAGAGAACTTTTTGTGCTCACATATGGTGCTTTGGTAGCCCAGCTGTGTAAGGACTATGAAAAAGATGAAGATGTCAACAATTGTTTAGATAGAATGTAAGTACTACATTTACGCAACCTTAAAATATATATGTTCACCCCATATTACTGTTTGTCCAACTGCATATTTCCTTTGAGCTTTATGTCTACTATTTTTTTGAGTTCCAGACCTTTATTTAGGACTGTAGAAAGTATAAGATTCAATATTCTGTCAACAGGAGTAACATTTATTTATGAATAAAAAAGATCAACAATTAATTTTTCAATTCTTCTAAGAAGAGTGGAGGGATTAATCTAATGGCTGTCGCTTCTTCCTTGTTAATCCTTTCTTCACACTGAACAGACTAGACACTTCACAATTAGACTGAAAGCTTGCTAAAGCTTAATAAGCTACAGTCCAATACCTATTGGTGGAAGTGAGAAAAAAATCATTGATCTGGAGAAAAAGTGATTTTATCACAAACTGAAAGTTGGCAATATCCCTCCAGTTATTTGATATTAATCCCTCATTCAGCTCTGATAAAAATGATGCATTTTAAAAATATTTTTTGGGTTTCTGGTGCATTACATATTGTTATTTGGAACCTTACTCTGCCAGAAACAGTTTGTGTCTTGTCATCACATCAGATCATTTTTTGGCTTCTTGTCATCAGACACAAAATAAAATAAGTGAGGAACCTTCCACTGCCTACAGCCTGCTTTACAAAGGATGTAAGATGTTAAGAATATCCACTTAAATGGAAATGAGCAATTCCATAAAAGTGTTTCTGTATTGTTGCAGATTCTTTCATCGTATTTGTGTCGATCTCATAACCTTTTCCCTTTCCAAAAAAAAATTCTTGCATTCTATTGTATTCCTATTCTGTGCACTATGTATGTACTGACCTATGTTGATGTATGAGAGCAAGCAATGATTTTTTTAATGAAAAAAATCATTTTTCATCTTTTTATTGCCTTTTCTTTTCTCAGAAATTATATTATTTTAGATGCAAACACTACATTAACTAGTAACCGTTGGTTCTTTCCAAAATTAGTAGGTGAAGGGAGAGAGCAAGTTAGAGAGAAAGAAGACAAAGAAGGAAGTTTGAAGGAAGAAAAAAAAAAGGGGGATAAAGTGAAAGGGACTGTCTGTGAGTCCATTTCCTATGAGTTTGCCAGACGCTGGAACTCTGCAACAAGAATGCTGAATATTAGATAAATTCCATGCTAACTCCAGGGATGAATGCTGTGACTTGAAGGGGCAGTTATATGGAAATATTTATATATCTCTATATAGATATGTATATGTACAGTATATATAATCAACATTCATATAATGTTTGTTAAGTAGGAAGAATTTAAAGGAATACAATTTCTTATATGACTTACATGAAGAGCAGGCCACTTATACTGCAAAATATTGTGAAAATAAGAATTGAGTTCAACAAAATCTAATGTCTTTGAAACCATTTATTCAGGAACATGTAGCTGTTTTGCTGAGAAAGTGCAAGAGACAAATCACGGAGACAGCAGAGGGGAAGAAATATCCCATTTTGGCTGTTGTTAACAATGTTTTTCCCCCAGGGGGTATGGCATTGGCATAAGACTGATTGAAGATTTTTTAGCTCGTTCAGCTGTGAAGAAATGCCGTAGCTATTCTGAAACTGCAGACATGATTGCACAGGTAAGTGAGATTTATATTCTCTGGGGGTTGGTCACCTTCAGTGTTCTCGGCTTTTCCTTCTTTCTTTCATTTTTTTTCTCCAAAACTGTATGTAGTTGTCTCTCAGAAATGACTGTTCTCCACAGTCACAAGTGCTTCCACTGTGTTACATATGGCCTTTTTTTTGCTTATCTGTAACTTTACATCACCTAGTAGCACACAGAGGTATGGCTGTGGAGAAGAGATATCTATTCTATGATTCTATGATTCTATGATTCCTGTTTTCATAGCATAATGGGTAAATAACAAGTTAGAAAAGAAAATATTCAACAGCGCACAAGAAATGTGATGTTTAAGGAATCAAGAATTTTGCATATGGTCTTGCTAAGCCCACAAAGGTGAGTTTGTCACAAATGGTCATCAGAACCACTAACTTTGTTCACATGGGCATTATTTTTGCATAAGAGTTGAGGACAAAGAACTCAAAGTGGGATACAAACTAGGAGAGGCTACTAAACTCTGACCTAACCTGATCTTTGTGTCAACTGTTGATCTGATCTTAAAATTCTTCTATGAAGTAGAATCCAATTAGTCTTTTCTAATAGGCTGTTAGATGCTTTCCCATTAGAAGAGTAAGAAAATTTCTTTTGGTTTGCTGCAGATAAGCTGTTTTCTTCTGCTCCTGTCAGAGGATGTGACAAAAAAAAAAAAAAATTACCCAATTTTAACAGACTTCAAATCATATGTTCCCTTGATTTTTCTCTCCTAGAACTATGACAGCTGTAAATTTTGACAATCTTTTTTCCTGCCTTCTGAACTCTCTTCAGCATTTAACCCTAAAAATGGTAATACTAGGAAGAAGATGCAGGATTTTATGCAGGAGCAAGACTCCATGGAAGAAGAGAGTAATTGTAAGAAAAGAAAGTGAGGGCAAAGTTATCCTCACCACTCACAAATCAAGATGATAAAATCAAGATGGGTACTTCTCCTCTGCCTTTGATGGAAAATTCCCTTTTACTGAACAGTGTCAGTCAATAAAGATTTGGGAGGGATCTCAGCAGTATAGAGGCTTTAGAAGATAGATTTTTGCCCCTGGGACAAACCAGATGTCCAAGGGAGGCTGCTACAGAAGTTCCCAGGATGTCCAGTCCCTTAGACTGCTGCTCTGCTGTAGAGGAGATGGTACTTCAGAGCTATTCGGTTAGCTCAGACTTTCAGATACCCAGTCAGATTACTGCAAGTGATCCCTTTTATCCTTAATGATCTTCATCTGTAACTGTCAACTGTGTCTGGCCTTTCCTGATGACAAAAATTAACTATATTGTAGGGGAAAAAGCTGCTTTCTAGGGCAGTCACTTGCTGTAAGTGGAGATCTGAGCATCAGTTCTTCCTTAATTAATTGAACAGAGATTCATGGAAATCCATTCAATTGTTTGGGGAGACAAATGTATGCCTGGCATGCTTTTGGATCACTTAGAACTACCAGCAGCAGTAACTAAGTGTGAACATTAATGCTTAACCCTTAACTACAGAACAAGGAAACAGTGGGTTAGTGTCCTAAGGTAGCAGTATATACCAAAAGCACGGGAGGGTCCTGGTGCAAAGGGCACACAGATGTTACCAGGTGAGTTGTGACTCTATCAGAAATTCCTAAGTTACATCTGACTGAAATGGAAGAACAGAAGTTATATTTGCATTTAAAAATACTTGTCATAGAGGAACTGATGGCTGTCATAGATATAAAGGACCTCTTTTCATCTGCTATTGCTGATAAGGCTATAAAGCACACCATGGCATGGGCACAAGTGCAAAGCACACACATACACCACAGTCTGCCTCTGCCAAAGTTCAAGGCAGAGCAGGAGACATTACCCAGTGTCACACAGAACGCATTGGCTCATGAAAGAATGAAAACTAAATTACTTCCAATTAAAGCACTTCAGTCTCTGGATCTGAGTGACATATAGCAAGATCAGGTTGATGTGTAATGAGGCTCCTAAGGAAGCTGAGGCAGAGCAGAGGATCCATTCAGGATTCTGAGAGCAGCTGAATGGAAAAACATATGATAAGCAGTGGTTCAGTCACTCTGTTAAAATAATTAACCTAATTAAAAATATTTTTAAGTGCTCTGTGTTTTCTCTGGATTTTTATATATATATATATTCTTGTATCTGGTTTACTGGGTCTTGACCTGCCTCTTCACAACTTTCCGAATTATCAGTGCTGTAGTACAGCTGTCATTCTTCAGTAGAGAAGATTGAACCACAAAACATAGAAAAATTAACAATGGAGGCAAGGAAAAAGGCACTGCTTCCCTTATGCTTCAAAAAGACACTTGCTGAGAGAAGTAATATTACTTGGAAAAATTGGAGCAAGATTTAAAGCATGCAGTCCCTTGAACAGACTATATTTAGCAGACCAAGAGGAAATCTGTAGTAGGAGTATGACCTTTTTGGGGCAAAATATGATATGATTCTTTGACAAAACAATTTTGAAGTAGTCTCCAAGCACATTTTTCAAAGACAGATACCAAAAAAAACCCAGCACCTACATAAAATGAGCCAGCAAGTAACTGCAAATGTGCTGTTAGAGTTGTTGGTTTGACACTACACACTTTTAAAATAAACTGTTTAATTGATTACTAGTAGGGTTACAGCAAGCAGAAAGTATTTATATATTTAGCTCTTCTTAGGTACAAATCTGTTAAAGGATGAATGTTCATGATAAAAACAGTTAAAAGATTAATTAATTAAAGCAGTTAAGTAGTTAAAGCCAAACATCTTATAAATGTAGTTTGGCAGTCCTACGGAAAGCAAAAGAAAAGTCCATGATAGTATATACAGGGACTGATTAGTTAGTGCCTTCCTAACTCTTTCAATAGTTCTAGACTGTATTTGAGCACCATTGAAATGTTAATGATCTTTAGTCTGCTACCTAAGAAAGATGGTCTGCTAGGTGAGGCTTAATGAAACCAAAAGGGTAGGTTTTCAGTTCCTAACTGTGCATGGGTTTCTTGTTTGACATTAAGCAAGACATAATCCCATAAGAGTTGCAGTCATAATTTTTGAAAGAATTATAGTAATGATTTTCTTGCTTCATATGGGTGCCCTTTTGAAGATATGCCTGTAAGAGCATCTAATTTTTTTTTTCTGATTTGATACATATAGAAAGGAGATAGAGAGATTTATGGATACACTTTTCAAAACTCTTTTTTCATTTGACTCCACTCTCTTTTGCAGACACAAAGAAAGACCAAAAGACCATTGTTTTGCCCTCAGATAAATTGTGTGTGGCAGTTTTAAAGAGTTTTTAGCTAAAAAAAAGTTCATTTCTGATCTATTCATTAAATTACTTATGCAATTGCTTAAGTTACTTATTCCTCGGAGGCTTTTCTTTCCCAATTTTCGCTTTACTGCTTTGTAATTTTCTCTTAATTTGATCCTCCAAGACACTACAAACAAGCCACTGGTTTTGCATTGTTTCCATGCAAGTTCTTTTTTATCCCGGAAATTTTAACAATAGAATTTGGAAGGAGCTGCAATGGAACGCACAGCTGAAACTCAATTGAAAGCATATGAGGGACAGTTAGTCGGCTTAACTAGTTATTGCTCTTGTAGCAAAGACTTGGAGTGTGACTGAGTAGTGGATGTACAGTAGAAGTACAGTATTTAAATGAGAAAATTGAGTTCTGATTAAAGAAGAGTAAATTGAGGGGCAGAACACAGACTTGAGCAGAAGTTTCCAGTGGATATCAGAGTTAATGCAAAGTCTAAATTTTCCGAGAGATAGCATTGATTCTGCTGGTCTTTTGTTGTTGTTTTTTTTTTTTTTTTTCTCACCCTGCTTCAGGTAGTGTCATACATAAATCCTACCTCTTTCTGGACTGCCATAGCTCACAGTAGGTGAACTTCAAGTAAGAAGCAACACTGATATGAACCAACTTTAGTGATAGGTGCTTGGAGGACAGAGACAGACTTGCCAAAACCTGATTCTAGTTGAAAATGTAGGGTCAAAGGGGTTTATTTTTGTCTGCTTTTGTAAAAGTTTTCCTGGAGCCATATGGCAATTGTATTAAACCACAAGCATTTGGGAAAGAAAAGCCAGCTGGAATAACAAGGCCCTGGAAAGGAGGACCGGTGAAGGACGTAGGCTCCTGCCAAGCCAACACTGCAGCACGTAACGTTCAGCAGCTGCAGGAGAGCAGCTCTAGCAGTGGGGAGAGGAAGGCCCTGTTAGGTGTCGTGGTGCCTCTTCCCTGCCAAGGAGGGGAGATGGGGCTGGGCACGAGGTGTTGGGGCATCTGTCAGGAAGAAAGAGAACAGCAGGCAAATAGGAAGGGGTATTTATCCTGGAGCTTAGAGAGTTGCAGCAGGAGAGGAGCCTCTGGAGATAAATGCCTAGGTAGTGGCTGGGTTGCAAAGCGGTAGCTATGAAGGTCTTTTCTGCACAGCCTCCTTCCAGCAGCTTGCATAATCCATTACTTGGAGCTTCCCAAATGCTCCTGCCATTTGCTGTCATGAATATTTAGCAGAGTGAAAATGCCTGCTTAGGTGACCACCTGCCGGTCTGACTTGTTGGTGTCAGGCGTGCCTGCTGCTGTAACTTTCATTTTGACAATGTTGCCTCTGCGCTTTGAGACGCAGCAGGTAAACTTGGACATAAAAAGATAATGTATTTTTAGAGTGCTGTAAAGTGGAGCAGCTGGTATAAAATGCATTAAAGTGACATCTGCTCAGAGACCACATCTTCTTCAAAACACACCGAGAAAGTTCTAAGCAGATAACGGAATTAGTTCTTGTATTTTATTCAAAGAAAATGGACAGCAAATTGAGACATTTTTCTCCTCCCAGTGAGCACAGACAGTCTGAGCCATGAGAACAGAACAGCTGCAGAGATTACGTTATTTTGTTGATAAGGGTCTGATCTCAGCAGTGCAGAAATGTGATTCTTTGCAGACTCACGGAGGCTGGAAGCAAAATGCTGCATAAAAGCCTCCCAGTCACCCCTGGGAAAGAATCTTGGCAGAAACTTTGTACCCCATTAACACAATGTTTGCAAAGATTCTGAATACCCCATGTGAGAGCCATGTCATGAATCCCAAGCACATGAGGTAAAGCATAAATCTCTGGCATAAAATGGCTTTGTCACAAATTCTGATTCTGCAGTCATCTCACCTGCCTTGCCTGCTGGTTCCTCTTGCTGAGACACATTCTAACCTTCCAAAGACATTAAGAAAAATAAAATTGGACTGCTTCAAAAATATTTTCTTTGTTGTCCTAAAATGTGTAGTTTCTTTCCAGCCGTTCTCTTATGTTGGCTCCAGGCCCAGTACAAATAGTATTCTGCAGTTTTGCAGGTTGCACTCAGCGTCCAAAATCCACCAAAAATGAGAACTTTATACTTTATTACTAGATTTGCAGTGGGAGAAATGAATAACAGATAGTCTGTGGAAGCAAAATATCAATGACAGTGTTGTTACTGCAACCCAGCATTAACAACTACTGTAATTATCTTTATTTTTATTTATTTATTTTTAAAATACAAAAACACAGAAATGTTAAGCCATTTGGGAGTCTTGGGTTCTTCATACCCTATAAAAGACTTAAGATTTGACCACTCCAGGAAATTACACGGCACCTCACTGTCAATTGAGGAAGCTGTCCCACGTCCCATGTCAACGTGTCAGGGCTGATCTATGTGACCATCCATGATGTTGTAGGTGCAACAGGAGACCGAAGGCAAACAGTGACCTTGAGTTACCACAGTACCTCAAATGGATGCTGGTCCCTAAGCCACTACTTTCGATGAACTGTCAAAAAGTCACCCATCTCTTTTATTATTGTATACCTGCATTTTTAAATGGTGTTACTCTATGATAGTCTCTTGATTTGCATCGGACAGGCATGTTAGATATTTTACATAGGAAATTGTTAAATCCATCTCTCAGAAGTGATTGCTGAGTCTTTTTTTTTTCTGTCAGTGCTATCCCATTTGGATTAGTTCTTGACCCAGAGCCAGTGCTCACAGAATATGAGCTTTTGGTGATGCTGAGAACTAGACTGTTCTCAGTGATGAGCAGAAAAAAACTTCATTCCCCCTTTCTGGAGCAGGCATGGAATTGGAGTGGAAAGTGAACAAGAACAAAGGCCATCATGAACCAGAGAGACTAAAGCATTCAGAAATACATTAACAAGATACTATAAAAAAGGGTGAAAAACAAGATGTCATCTATGGTATTTCCCTTCTGTCTACAAAGTCCATCTCTGTCTCTCTCTCTTCACTGATTTCCTTCTGGCCTTGCTCAACTAGCCTATGAATTGTGCTATAATGTTGTTCACTGCTATTGAAAGAGTAGAGCTGGGACGCGTCTTCCCATGCCTGAAAAGATGGCAGGGGAACAGCTTCTGGCCTCCTGTTCTGGAAAAAGCTCTGCAGGTTTCTCTCACTCAGCTTGGTGGCATACAGCTGGAAAATCTGCTCCAGTTGCTCCTTCTCCTTCTCGACATACGTCCTCCAGAACTTCAGCTGGAGGTGGCTGACTTTGGACTGGCAGCTGGCACAGCACATGGTCAGCAGGGACAGGAGAGCAGTGGTAACTATCACACACCAGCCTAAAATCTGGGAAAACAAAAGAGACAGGCCCCAGTGACAAAGCCACTTAAGTCAAGACTGTCCAACACGGTGATTGCTTTGCAGGTGCATCGAATTTAATGCATAATTATTAATTGAGGCTTTCACAAATCGCACAAAGAGGAAACAGAAGAAGTAAGGACCAGGACTCCCAAGTATTGTTCATTTGATATCCTTTTCCAAGCAAAGGGAAAACCTGTTGTTTTTCACAGTGGAATGTAAAACTCTCAGGAAAAGTTGTCATTAAAGACCATGTGTGCACAGAGATACAGACAGCCTCAGTTTGAAATGATGCTGTTTTATAGCAAAGGGAACTTGGATGACAAAAGCTGGGGAGACTCGACCAGTGCAAAGTCAAAGGCAGATTCAGGGACTGAACAGATGATCTCAAATCTACAAGTTGTGTATTATGTCTTGCAAGAAAAATCTATAAAAAGTCTAAATGATCCATCAAAAAATACAATGTTTGAGCATTGTTATACAGGAAACAAAATAGATCTGAGAGGAGGAGAAGTGTCTCAATAATTTAGAGGGGATAATTGGTGAGAACTTCTTGCAAAAATATAATGATCTGACCTACAGTGCATTTAAATTCCTCACTCAGTTGTTACAGAAAGGGAGAAGTATGTAGGTAGGAGAATAAGCTGACACAATTACTGGATGGAAAACGTTTTCAATCTTTTTGAAACCATTAAATAATATTAACCATCAAGCATTAGGATTGAAATACAATATTTAGAATCATGACAAACCAGAAAACTATAACAAGGTAAGTAACTTTTGGCCCAGGTCAATCTATATTTTAAATCATGATCATTTTGAGATGTGTTGTTTTCAGATTTTTGTAAAGAAGCAATTTTAACATTAATTAGCTAACCAGAATATAAATGATAGCTTTAAACTAAAAAAGCTTCCTCTCATTTGTTTTCCGGGAGATTCACTGAATTTTAAACGATTCTTGCTAACTTTTTTGACTTTTATGAATCAGTCTTTTACAGTAGAAAATAAATATTATGTCAAAATCATATAAAAATCTTTTCCAGTCACTTTTGCACTAGCTGGTATTTATGAATATGTGAGACACTGTCCTTTTTAGCACCTTTCCACTTAGTTTCAGCTTGAAGCATGCATCTATCTATTCTCATGCTATCAACTGAGTCATTTGTTGCTGTTTCCTATACATACAACTTAAAGTCTTTAAAACTATTATTTGCTTTTGAAAACACTCAGTTAAATTTATCTGCATTCCAGCCTTTGCAGCACTGTACACTTTGCATGCAAACTGGAAAACAAAACTGCTTCCTGTCCTGGAAACTGTTCCAGATGGATGCAACCCCCGACGAAAACTTGCTGGCTCAAAAGTTATTTTTGATTTCTGCTGTTTCCTGGCAATCTTATTTCCATCATTTCTATAGCATTTTCTTTTTCTTTCTGTCCCTTTTCATGTTTTTGTCTCTGAATTTTCAAATGAATGTTACAAGGCAATGAAGAAAATGCCGTACCCCAGCAATATAGGAAAGGGTAATATGGTGTCAGTTTTGCATGCCTGGATTGCTTTAGCTTAGTCGTTCTTTTCTCCTGACAGGACGAAAATATTTAACAAAGTACTCAAATGTGCAAGTTCATGACAGGGGATGAGAGGAATGCAAATCTAAACAAATTATATAAGGAGTGTGATACAAATCCCATTTTCTGTCATTTTCACACTGTTAGTGACATAAGACTTCTTTCCAGTTTTCAAGAAAACATGTAATTGATTTGATACTTTTTTTTCTTTTTAATAGAACAGACACCTTTAAAAAGGTGTCATTTCTTAATTCAGCCTCTTCGAAATGGAAGATTTGTTTCCATTCATTAGGGAAGGAAGTTTAGCCTTAATGATCCTGACTTTGTAGGGCTCCTCAGGACTGTCACTGCTCAGATAGAGCTAAAATATTTAAGGACTGTATATTGCAGAGCTGAAACACACCCAGACTTTAAGTGAAAACAGTGATATCACTTCAGCATCTGACATTAGGATCTCTTGCAGATATGACAAAACAGTAATTCAAAGTATATGATGATCTTAAGTTATTTTTCTTACCTGGGACTGTGCTTGCAGAGTTAGTCTGAGTTCCTCACTCTCTGGAAAGGGCATGGTGCTTTTGCCACAGGAAACCTTGTGGAGCTCTTCGAAGCACTTGGTAGATTTGTTGTGACAGACTGTGTGTAAGTAGGCAGGATTTTTTAAGCCACTCATGGCACATTCGTAGAAAGTCCCGTTGAGCAAAGCCACAGAGAGCCACATTATTGGGGCTACCAGAGCATTTAAAGTGATACATCCAAAGACATAAAAGAAATAGCAAATATTCCCTTTCGGGAATATTTTTCTGGGATTTACCCAGCAGCCCGTAAAGAGTTTCCATGCCTTACTATTCAGGAAATATCCAAAAACTAGCAAAACAAAAGCTGGAGCGAAGAGAAATACCAAACCATACCTGAAGTTTTCATTGCTGCAGGGACATCTGAAAGCAACAAGAGAAAATACGCGCTCGCCTCCCAGGGTTAGCAGCGCCATAAAACTGTAACCAATTGCAGTTTTCTGCTTCTCTAGGAATTTCAGGATTGTTTGGAAAGTATCCATGTCCAATGCTCCCCGAAGAAGTAAAAATCGAGGTGCTTTTCTCTGTGTTGTAGCAGTCTGCAGTGGTGGATGAAGGAAAGCCTGTCAGATGAGAAATGGTCTGCTGCTGCCTGCCTGGGTTAGTGCCGTCCAGAAAGAGCGGTGATGTCATGGGCTACATAAACAAACTCACAGGGGACCCTCTGCAAAGCAGATGTTGCAGTAAAAATAATCAGTAGAGCAAGAAACACAGTATAGCAAATTAGTTTGACGATCAACAGTCTTGTTGGTTTCTTTTTTGACTGCACCTGCAGATAAAAGCACATGTTCACCAGCTGCAGAACTTGAGATGCGACCCAAATCCCCAGCAATATAATAATGGGCCTGATATGGATGCTAATGGTCGCAGGGGAGCATGGCTCTACTGAAAGCATGTGGCAGGCTTGTGTGGCAGAGTTTACTCATTTTTGCAGGTTGCCTTCAAAATGTACCTTGGGGTCACCCCCAGGGTGAGATGCAGCAGCGCTGCGGGCAATGAGTTCTCCCTAATCCTGGACAAGAATCCGCTAGTGGACTTTGTGGAGGAGCTTCCCGCAGAGCGAGCCTCACTTTGTTATTGCAACCTCCTCTGTGGGGTGATTCGAGGTGCCTTGGAGATGGTAAGGAAATGCACGTCTGCTTTCTCTTCTCTTTATTTATACACACCCAGAAGCACGGGAATGCAACTTCCCCCCCCCACCATGCCCAGATAAAAAAGGGAAACTTAGCAGCATTTAATCTCTCTTTCAGAGAGATCTCTCAAAGCATCAGAAGTATATTCACTATCAGAAGGCATTCTCTACTTTGTTCTTAAATAGAAGGCTTTTACAAAAGAATACATGAAGTCGATCATCTAGAAGTGATTGAGTTGCAGAACCTCTGTACCATTTTCTGAAACATGGCATTTGTTATTTCATTGTGTTTCTGCCAGTGAAAACCTATTTTGTCACATTTTCTGATACAGAAAAATTAAAAAGGTATAAATATTACTTCTGTGAATTAAATGAAAAATTGTAGTAGCTTGTATAAGACTAATTAAAGGAATGTTTTGATAAGGAACAGTATATGAACATGGAAAATTTTTGTGATTACAGAATGAAGATTTAAGTTCCCAGAACAAAGCAAAAGACTGCATTGAAGATTAATATATTGTGCAATTTTTACTGTGCACATAAACTTCCTTTTTGTTATTTTGGTTTGAAAAGACACGAAAAATAGTAGGAAACTCTTTCCTACGAAAGTTGAGAAAGAGAGTCCTCTTGTGGTGGGAGTGAGAGGGAAAACAAAAGTTACTCTAGAGAAAGCGAAGAAAAATAGACATTCTTCTGTTCAACTGATCAGTTCTGATTTCTCCTAGGTTCACTTAGCAGCAGAAGTTACCTTCCTCCAAGACAAGCTGAAGGGTGATGCTGTGACAGAAATAGGAATTGTATTTTTAAAGAATACTGAAGACAAAAAGCACAAAACAAATAAATGAAAGAAAGACCAGGATGAACTCTTGCCAAGCAGTATTTTGCTGCTTTTCTTTTACCTGAAGAAGATATACAGTGTAAAATCTTTCATAAATTTGAAAGGCAACAAGAGCAAACACAAGGTGGAGAGGAAAATCTTCCATATCCCAATACAGATATGACTATAAAAGATCAAAGTGGCCTCATCCTTTAACTTCGTCCTCACATAACCATGCTCATGAGCTCAATAGCAGTTTTATCTCAGTCCTGCATGCATGCTGGATCCAAATATCTCTTCAGCTAAATGTGGCTCGGGTTTTCCCATTTGTGTTGCTGGTAGTATTTCAAACCAGTGTTGACAAGAGATACTTTTCTCCTGCCTGTCTGTGATTAGGGATAGTGACACTACTGCATGCAGAGTCTGTCTATCCGTTTGGACAAGTCATGCTTTGATCCATCGTCCTTTACACCAAGCAGCCCCTCTCTTCCCTTTGGTACCAAATAGAGGAAATTTCACCGATGACCAGAACAGTTTTGTCATGACCAGACTGACCACTGCATGGCCTAATTAATATGTAGTCATTGCAGATCTGTACTGCACCTGAAGAAATTGAAATAAAAATGTGGACATTACTGTTCAACCAACTGGTGGGTAATTGTGTGTGTTTCTGCCTGACCAGGAGTTCAATACCTCCCATTCAAGATTGTATGTTTGTCTTCCAAACATGACTGAGATGTAGAGAAATATCAGCCTCCTAGACATCTGAGCTACCAAAAAAAAGAGGATCTGATGTTTTCCACAGTCTAACACAAGAAATCTTGGTAGGGCAAGGCTGAAAACTAGAGTCATTGAGTACTAGCACAGCAAGTACTCTGCCACAAAGCAGATCAGCTTTTCCGTTCTCTAAGAGCCAAAACCCTCCTTTGAAATTAAAATACAAATTTTGATTCAGTTCAGCAGAGCCCAAATTTAACTTTGATTTTGTTGTTGTGATTTGGAAGTCCTTCCCTCAGTCTGCTTCATTCTTGATCCAATAAGCCAGGAGCAGCTCTTACCTTGGGGCAGCAAGGTCTGTTCAACCAGAACATTATAATCCTCGCTATAACTTTCTTTGTTTGTCTTAACAATCAAATACCGTGGTGGCCTAAGAAAATAGAGGGTTTTTCTTTTAACAAAATAATGCACAAATTAATCATTGCCCAGCCCTTTCAGAGCTCAGCCCAACTTGCTGTTACAAGTTAAAATAACAAGTTACAACATGTAATATTCCCTCTATATTTCTTGTCATAAAGGCTTAGACCCTTTGGACACTTGTGTGCCTGCGATGGGGATTTTGATCCTCGATTCACAGTGATGGGCAGGTGGTTTCTTTGACTGACTATGAAAAGGTCTTTTACAAGATAATGACCTCTTTTTCCCCCCCAAAACATAACAACTGAATACTTTCCTCTTATTACAGTGAGAGTGAGTAACCTGTGCTGTTCTTGTTTTGTGTTATCCTGATCGGATAGATGTGCACACACGGATTTGCATGTGCCTGTGCACACCTGCAACCACATTTTCTACAGAGGTTCCCACTAGCTAAAGAGCATGAAAGTCATCACAGGGCATGTAAGTTGGCTCCAGTGTATCCACAGTCTATTAAACATGCCCTGCCTGCAAGCATTACATGGCAAAGCCAATATTGGTAAAGCAAGGACCATTAGTGACATCCTGAGGCCTCTGCAGTCTCACCTCTAGCCCTGATGTGGCTGAAGCTTCTGCTTTATGTATGTCAGTGTGAAACATCTGTGGTTATGCCTTGTGTAAGATGTCAAGGCTGTTTCTTTAGGTTCCAGGGCTTTAGACTAAATGCATAGGTAAAATCTTTACTTTTACTTAGACATGGTCAATTTTGGATGATGGGATTCCACTGCATAAATGAGCATGAAGCAGAAGTGCCCGGTCCAGGCAAGCCAGCACTGATCTGAGGTCAGGCCAAGAAGCTACATGAGGCAGGTGGTTGAGAGCAGGGGCTGCTTTGTACTCATGGGCTCTGAGCCACCTTCCTTGTGCTGGGACACAGACTCAGTGTGACAGCATCAGTCTGCTTTGTTTCCTCTTCCCTTCCCTTCCTTTAGCTTCCCTTCCTTTAGCTTCCCTTCCCTTCATTTCTCCTTTCTCTTTTCTTTTTAATGTTTAATTTCACCTTGGTTCAGCCTCTGCATTGTATTCAAAATGGAAAGTAAACAAATGTTAGGTAAGATGTCACCAGAAAGATGTTACCCAGCCATTAAATTCTGCACCTGAGAAAGGATAGCATTCCTCTGGATGTAGGTCGCCACAGTCTCTGATTTATTTAGTTTGGGGAAAGCTTTAAAAGGCAGAGTCTTTCACACAGCTGAGAACATATTTCACAAGTAATCTACTATGCATTTACAATATACACACGTGCTGTAATAATTAATAAATATTATGTAGTAGTGTAATATATAATACATAATAGTAGTAATTAAGTTCACCATCATCTCCTTGTACCTGAGTTCAGAGTTGTTAATGTTTTTTTCACTGATGTCATCCATGCACAACCTCAGCGCTGCTGTGGCTACAGCTTTTAGATTTCTCTTCAGACCTCACTGAGTCAAGGAACATTTTACTACTGTTTTGCTACTGCCACAGCAGGGCCAGGACATTGTTTTCTGCCAACATATGACATTCCAGAGCAGATTTATTTTTTTTTTCTTCTGGGGGTCAATGAACAAACGAACTCTACAGTATGAGAGGCAGAATGGGACATTTCTAATTGAGCACTGCTTCCTGGAGACAGGAATAACAAATTGGGCACTGTTACTATATTCACCTCTCACTTCTGGGAAGAAAAAACTCCAAATAAAGTAGCGATTCCATAGCAATATAATTTTTTAAAAAAATTATTTATTCTTTTCTACAAGCAGTATTAAACCAAGTTTTTGTTTTTCCTTTTTTTTTTCTTTTTTCTCTGTATATACTTATATGCTATAGGTTCCACTTATAGTAAGAATGCAGCCTCCAAGCTAATTATATCCAGCTAGATAAAATAGGCTCTTGTCTTGCTCCTTGGAAAATGACTACAACAAATACCCTCTACCTGTCTGAAGAGTTTTCAAGTTAGAGTTTGCTCTTTTGAAGGAAAAGATTTTCTAGGAAGAGCAAGAGGAATGGAAAGACAGCTCTGACCTCTCTAAAATGCTTTGTAGAAAAGCTTTGCAATGAGAAACTGAAAATTATCCCTTTTTTTCCCCACTTAAACTACTATCTTTGGTTCTTGCAATTAGATTTTGGATTTAGGTTCCTTCTGCAGGAAATATCCACTCCTTCTTAAGTTTCTACTATTTATTCATATAGGCGGCCGTGTATCTGTGCCACAAATACTTGTTAAAATAAGCCTTGCCTACACTGCCATTTTTTTATGAGCCTAATGCTTCCAGACATGTTACTCTGGATTTAGGCTCCATTTTGGAGCAAGTTAAATCGTTTATTTGACAGGGAAGTCCAAGAGTTTGTTAGGGATCTATTCCAGGGTCAAAATCTTATGTGCGATATGGAGTATGTATTAAAAAGCATTTTACCTGCTTTAAAAAAACAGGTAAAATAGAGAACAATATAAATCAGACACTGGAAATTTAATGTTGCTTTGTTTTTCCCTAAATGTAGCATTCAAATGCCTATTTTTTTTTTACTTTTTTTCCTTTTTTATTTTCAAGAGTTCTCAGGTTACAGGAAATGAGCAGTTCATCTTCTAGTTCAGCAGATACATAGTAAAGGGAGAATTTACAGAGAAATTTTCTAATTCCACCGTTATAAGCTGCTGAACACATACAGTAAAGGGGCTGGAATCTTTTTGCTTATCAGTTCCAAATGATGAACTGCTAAAATAAATCTCACTGTTTCCAATGAACACATTTTTAAATGCGCAGGTTTTTCCAAAATGCAAATTATTTCCCGGATTTGAAAAGACACGGTCCTTTCCTTGAAAAGCTGATTAACAAAAAGTAATTATTTTATTCTGGAACTTGTTCTAAGCTCCACTGAAAAACATATTTTCAAGTCAAATGTATGTTAAACCATTGCTAAAAAAAGCACTAAGCTGAACTCTGATCAAAATTTCCTTTTCTTTTTGTCTCATTGATACCACCAGGTATGAAACTAGGGATTTGTCACCCTAGCTGCCAAATGTCTTCCAGGTGTTTGGTCATAATTTGAAGAGTACCTGCTGACACATTTGTTATTTTAAATACATGCCTCTTTCTGAAAGAACAGCGTTATATGAAAACTTTAATTATGAGCCATATATATATTTAAATACATTTAGGCAAAGACGTAATAAAGTTTGTTTAGAAACAAAACACAGCTTTTACACACGATCTTCAATAGGGGCACAGAATACAACCTGTTCATATTATGAAGGTAAAAGCTTGCCAGTGTTAGGAGGGATTTGTCTCGTTAAAACCCTCACTTGCCCATTTGCTGCATCCCCTGCACTGATCCACGGGCGTTCTGCTCAGCGGGCCCAGGCCCCGTGCTCTGGCTGGGCTCGGTCTCTGCATAGCTGTGTATCGCACTGTAATGCATCTCCTCCACACCGAGCGTGTTCAGGGAGGAAATCTGCTGCCAGGTCTTGTGACTGGGGTTCTGAAACGGCGTTCAGTCGGTGGCTTCAAGAAAGAAATTCACTTTTCTTTCTGTCGGCTTGGCTGCATCTTCGGCCTTGGCCTGAAAAAGCTCCTAGTCCTTCTTCATGCAAATTTTCCAGGACTTTCAGGTGAAGAAAGCTAACTGGGGAGCAGCAGTGGATAAGGCAGGTTGAAATTAGGGTCAGGGCCATGACAAAACTTATGAGAAGCCAACCTATAATCTTGGAAAACAGAGAGGTAGGTTAATGGTGTTAACCCAACCCAAGCAAACACCTCATGGTAGAGTACAAGAGCTCTTCCACAGGGAAGAGTCCTCTGCTCCCGGTGGAAGAAGGAGATCCCATGAGGACAAAATTAGTTAATTTTGCAGAGCTTCAGCACCCTGG